GGCACCAAGGCAACCATTTGAAAGACCTGGAAAGAAATTTTCTCTGTATTCTGGAGCTCAAGTAAGTGATCAGAATGCTGATGGTGGTTGGAGCAAGGATAAATTTCTTCCTCCCTAAGTCTAGCCGTTGGATTTCCTTTAGCTCTACCTCTGTAATATCTCCACAATCTTTTTTTTATCACAGGATAATGATATCTGGGAACTTAGAAAGCTAACAGTCAATGAACTGCTYTAAAAAAGAGATCTGCTTTCAAATTCCTTATTCAGATTGCTGATCATGTTCTCCCATTCCCTGAATTTTAGAAGTCGTGCCATTTACCTAGTCTCTTCTTTTAAGATCTCAGAGCAAAAAGAATGGAATCAATGTTTTAGACTTGGTAGTGACCATAGTGGTGTTCCAGTTACCAAGATTTCTCTCTTAAAATACAGATGGTTCAGTGAATAAATTTAAATGTTCATTAAAAAGTTATTATTAGTGTTTTAAATGGCATTTTAAAAAGTAGACTTTAAAAAAACTGATTTATTATTGAGGCATAATTTACATAAAGCAAATTTCATTATATTTAAGAATAATTTAAGTTTTATTTATGTATACATCCACATAATTATCCCTGTAGTCAATATAATGAACACATTCATGATTGCCAAAGTGTTTTCATGTACTTTTGTAAATGCTCCTTTCTTTTCTCCGTCCCCAGATAACTACTGACTTATTTTCATAAAGATTATTTTCATTTTCTAGAATTTTATATATATGAAATCATATCATGTGCATCATACAATTTTTTGTCTGACTCCTTTAATTTAGTGATTCTGTTGAGATTCATGTGTGTTGTGTATAAAAATAGTTCAGTTCTTTTATTGCTATACATATTATATTGTATGGATAACCACAACTTTTTCATCCATTTGCCTGTTAATGAAGTTCTGAGTTATTTCCAATTATTGTTTTTTATAAATAAGGCCACAATGAATGTAAATATGCAAGCCTTCTTGTACTTTTATCACTCTTATAAGTTTGTATGCAAAGATAAATATCTTTCATAGATTCAAGATTTGAGTGAAAGATTTTGAATACATGCATATGGCAATGGAGGGAGATATCAGAAAACCTATCATTTAGAGATTATATCTCTTTGGAAAACTTAACCTGCTTTTCTATAGTATGCAAACTTACCTACACCCATATGAATCCTCTAATGGGGAAGCATTGCTGATACTTGTTTGTTGTATTTGTCAGCTTTGTAAAATAATAATATACAAAGCACCATTTTTTGAAATATTTTTATTTTGGCTGTATAAGTGCCAAATAGGCCTATCATTTTTACTCAGTACTAGAGAGATTTTGTTAGTGTCCAGGATCATAGAAATTTCTTTCTTCAGATCTTGACTCATTTTTCTAGTGCACATGGTTATGATTTAAATAAAGCCCTACATTTCCCTTTAATATGTATTGTTTGAAAAACTTTGGTGGTTGTGTGTATTAGTGGGTTTATTTGACTTACAGAATCTGTGAACCAACTCATTTGTTTCTGACTTTAACAGAGTTAACTAGACAAAATATAGGATGCCCAGTTAAATTTGGATTTCAAATAAACAATGAGTAATTTATGAGATCCATTTTTTTCAAGATGTTATGGATTATTCTATCCATATTATATTATCTATATTATATTATTATATCTATATTACCATGCTTTGCAATAGTTAAAAATAATAAAACCATCTAATTAAGGGTTTGTACATTTTAATTATCATGTCTTCTTTTCCTTCACCCCACAGATCTAGTAGCCTCCCTACAAAGTTTCTGATGTTTCTATGATTTCAATTTTTACAAATTCTGCCTTTAAGTGATTGATTGCATGTGGAATTTATCTTTATGTGTCTGCCTATTTCACTCAATATAATGTTCTTCAATTCCATCCAGACTGTCACAAATAACAGAATTCTTCATTTTTCAAAGACTGAATAGTATTCCATTATGTATGTATACCACATTTTTTTAATCCATTCATCCACTGAGGGGCATTCAGGTGATTTCATAACTTGGCTATTGTTAATAATTCCACAATGAATACAGGACTCCACATATCTCTTAGACGTACTGATTTCAAATATTTTGTATGAATACCTAGAACTAGTATTGCTAGATCATATGGTAATTCTTTTAATTAGAAAGAGAGAGTTAGCCAAGATATCCAGATAAAACTGCTTTAACTGAAACTTTATCACAATGGTCAGTACAATGAATTGAACAATATTGCAAGATTGGTGATAAGGAGATCTTGGTAGAAATATATGCATGGACCTCTTTAAAATATCCCAAGATGTGACAATACTCATACTCCATGTGAATAATCACTAAAAGATATTTTTTGCAGGTGATACTTGAAAGGATTAGGTGAACAAAATGACCTATTATGTGTATATAAATTGTGCTCTTTCCTGATTGGCCCACTGCTTTCTCAAAGAGCTCATGAATAAAGGAGTAATATGTATATGGGTCCCATATAATTCCACTCACCATGCTGATCTGGTTACTAGTAGTAATCACCATTGTGTTGATGGTACCACTGACTAAGGATAGCAGCATGGTGGCAGCTTATTTAGATCATAAGCTGCTTTTCATGAAGGTATCAATAATTTGTTCTCACAAATTAGACATTGATAGTGATAATATTAGGCTTTTCCTGAGGGGCCTGCTTCTTTATTTAATATGAAGTTCACAGTTTCCTCAGAAAACATTGATTTTGACAAAACAGTTGCTTTTAAGGAAAGGTACGTAAAACAATAGTCTGAAGTTTACTATTCATATTTGTTTTATTCATTTAATGCCCAAATAGTTATGGAACACCTGGGAAATGCCATGAAAAGTTCATTGTGCTGGGAATACAACAGGGGACAGTAAAAATAATAAATAAATTTCTGACCACAGTTTATGTTGCTATTGGAGAGGAAGCATGGCAAACAACAAACATATATTAGTTGATAATAAAAGCTTGAATAAGCAACCAATATATAGGCTGGTCTTTTTGTAGTTAGGACATATGAAGGATTAAGAGTTTGTGGGTGTCATTTTAAAATTATAACTTCAAATCAGTCACAAACATTGTGGCTTCCCATCCTTCAAAGTGAAATATAATAATTTTTAGGTCTTAGTATCCTAGATTAGATATTTCGATCAAAAGAAACATTATCAGTCTGTTGAGTTAGAAATTAAAACTGCTAAAATATTGACTTTTCTCTTTTTTTCTTCTTTAGCATGGCCAGGGGTTTATTAATTTTATTTACTTTTTCAAAGAACCAACTTTTTATTTTGTCATTTTTTTCAATTGTTTCTTTTGTTTCTATTTCATTGATTTTTGGCTCAAACTTTAATTATTTCCTGTCTTCTACTGCTCTTGGTGTTGATTTGTTCTTCTTTTTCTAGGGCTTTGAAATGTAATGTTAACATTTATTTGTTGACCTTTTATTCTTTTAATGAATGAGCTCAATGCAACAAACTCTTCTCTTAGTACTGCCTTCTTAGTGTCTCAGAGATTTTGATGTGTTGTGTTATGTTCTCATTCACCTCTAAGAATTATTTTATTGTATCCTTGACTTCTTCTACTATCCATTAATCATTGAATAGTGTATAGTCTGCATTTGTAAGAACCTTCTATTTTTTATTTTATCATTGTTTTTAATTTCATTCCATTGTAATCTGATAGAATGCAGAGTATTATCTCAGTTTTTTCTTTTTTTGTATTTACTAAGAGTTGCTTTGTGGCATAAGATATGATCTATTTTAGAGAAGAAGCCATATGCTACTGAGAAGAAAGTATATTCACCCATTGATGGATGAAATATTCTAAATAAGACTGTTACATCTAAATTATTGATTGTATTATTTAGTTCTATGGTTTCTTTATATAGTTTCTGTTTGGGAGATCTGTCAAATAGGGAAAGAGGTGTGTTAAAGTCACCCAATATTATTGTGTTCTTGTCTTTTTAACTCTTGAAATTGAGAAGAGTTGGTTTGATGTACATAGATGCTCTATTTGGAGGGGGGCTTAAATATTTATAATTGTTATGTCCTGCTGATATATTCTTCCCTTAAGAAGTATGAAATGCTACATCGATGTTCATAGCAGCACAATTCACGATAGCAAGATTGTGGAATCAGCCTAGATGCCCTTCAATAGATGAATGGATAAAAAAAATGTGGCATTTATACACAATGGAGTATTACTCTGCATTAAGAAATGACAAAA